CCGGGCAAGAGGGTCAACTCCTTTACCTTCCTGTCTACCTGTCTGGCATAACAAGCCAACAGTCGACTAGTCAGGTAAAGGGGGGGCAGTTGTAGACCCCAAATCTTGCCCGGCCTCAGAATAAAGTCAGAAAGCTTCCTATTTGAAGACGGTCGAAGCCTAACAAGCCATTAAGAGAGATTATTAGGCCCCCGTACTAAGATAGGAAGGTTTTTTGGCCCGAAAATAAGGTTTCTCGCCCTGAAGGGACGAGACCGCCGTCTGGAAATACCAGACCGCCATCTCGTCTCAGCGCCAGGACGAGACCGCCGTCTCGATTATCCAGACGGCGGTCTCGTCACTCGCAAAATCGAGACGGCGGTCTTGGTTTTCCAAACAGCGGTCTTGATGCCTGCCTATTCGAGACGGCGGTCTGGGTTTTCCAGACGGTGGTCTCGACCCGCTGCCATGAACGAGACGGCGGTCTGGACTTCCCAGACGGCGGTCTCGACCCTGTCAGCGGAGACGGCGGTCTCGACCTGTCAGGCGCGAAAAACTATAAATAGGGCGTCATTTCTCCCTTTTACACACCCAACAAGAAGAGCTCTCCCTTCTCTCTAGAATTTCTCTCTCTAAGAATCCCTCCGAGGCATTTCCGAGTTTCGAGTGTCTCTAGGCATACACAGAGTGTCCTAAATCTTCTTTAGAATCCCTCCGAGGCATTTCCGGAGTTTCTGAGAGTTGTAGAGTGAAGGGTTGCCAAAACGCACCCTCTCTTTTGAATATAAAAAGCTTGTTTTGGAGGTGCATATCCTCACTCTCTACTTTTTACTGCTATTTAAATTACGCAATAGAAGCTAGGGCCATGTAGTCATACATCTAAATTCCGCATAATAAAAAGGGTGAAAGCGCAATTTTCCAAGTTTAATTATTTAAAATAGCCGACCTATCATAGGGAACCCGAAAGGGGCGGCGTAAAGGGACTAATACTCCCTTTACTCGTAACTAACTCCCTTACCCAACTCTGGTTCTAATGACCAAGGTTGGTTTTCGAAAACCAACGCCTTTTTAAACCCCTTTTCTGATGTTTATGGTAAAAATATCGGTGGCGACTCCATAGAACCCAAAATAAATAAGTCCTTGGGTTAGCCCGGTTATCGGACAACTCAAGGACACTTTTCGAAAACCTCGTCTCTAGGTTAGCCCGGTTATCGGACAACCTAAGGACATTGTAACCACCAATAAAAAACGCGAAAATCAAAGAGGGTCGAAAAAACCATCGCGTCGCTCCGACCGTCCCCTTTTTGGGAGGCGGCGACAACGTCTTATCTTTTTATAGGAAAATTTGGGTGTGGTCTCGCATCATTCGCTCAAGCGACCCATTATTTGTTTGAGCGAAAAACAGTAACTTTCGCTCAAGCGAGAGTAGATGTCGCTTGAGTGCGTGCACACCCGAGAGGTTTGTAGTATTTTCGCTCAAGCGAGAATGGAAGGCGCTTGAGCGAGTGAAATCCTGAGAGTTTTAACATATATTCGCTCAAGCGAATTTCTAGTTGAAAATCTTTTTATTTCTTTCACTTTTTCTTCAATTATCTTCACAATTATGATTTTTGCTCTTGTATTAGGGTATTCTACCAATTCATCCTACATTGGAAGAAAAATAGATTAAAATCAATATAATTTAAGTGGTTATATAACAATTAAGAGCATAATTACATTAATTTTTACCACTTAACAATACATGTTTTGCTCACCCTTGCTTGTTTGTGGTGTTGGTTTCCACCTGCGATGATCGTATGACTTGTGTTATGCGAGAGTAGATGTTGATGTAGATACTGTTAGAGAAGCTTAGCAGTGAGGAGATCGCAGGGAAGTTTTTTGGGAGTTATTTTAAGATATTTGAAAATGTCCTTTTGAATATAATGTAATAGTGTAGTGATTTAGAGTTTGCACTGGAAAGATTTGATATTAAGTCTCATTTTGATGGTTTAAGTTAGTTATTTGGATGAACACAATTTTATTTTGATGAATAAAGAGGTTTAGGATAAATCTTTTATCAAGTGTTATTTGATATAAACTAATTGTACAAAAAAAAATTACACGTGGCATCTCGAAATGGGTGTTACACTTGTCACTTGGTTAAGCAAAAAACATTTACCTTTTAACATAAGTGACTCGCATACCTTGACACCATTTATTCTTTTGCATATTTATATTTGGGGACCTTGTCCCATTGTATGCTTGTATGGTCATAAATATTTTCTTACTCTCGTAGATAATTACACTAGTAATACTTGGGTTTATCTTATGCATAACAAGACTGAAACTAGAACTCACTTAATCAACTTTATCACCTATGTGGAAAAATAATTTGAAAAACGTGTTAAGATTTTTAGATCCGATAGTGTCCAAAATTTCTCATGAAAAACTATTTTAACTCCAAGGACATTGTTCACCAAGCCAGTTGTCTTAAAACACCTCAACGAAATAGTATTGTAAAGAGGAAACATCAATATATTATATAAGAGTAGAAGTTGTATAATTAATCCAACGATCTTTCTTAGGTTGCATCTCATCACAAAATGGTAACTTCTCTATAATCACAAGACTAACATTTTCTCATAATGTAATCTTTTATGAAAATTATGAGAGACTATCTTTATCTTTCAAAAGCTTATCATGAATATTGATGTCAACATTAAGTCGACCTCTTACCGTGAAGCTTGCAAAAGTAAGCAATGGGTCAAAACTTTGAAAGATAAAATTCAAGTTTTTGAAGTTAATCAAGCGTGGACTATAACAAAACTTTCTCGCAACAAGTCGATCATTGTTTGTAAGTATGTTTATAAAATAAAATACAAAATTGATGGTTCAATAGAAGTATAAACCAGGACTTATGGTACGTGGTTATAGGGCATTGATTATAATAAAACTTTCTCTCCTATGGTAAAACTCACAATTGTTTGGCTCCTCCTCACCTTAGCTATTATTCACAACTAATATCTAAAACAATCAAACATTAACAATGTTTTCCTCCATGAAAAAATAATTGAAGAAATATACATGAAAGGTTTGTCATCTACACAAATCTCTCTATGAGCTTAAATAGTCTGGTCAACAATGGTATACAATACCAAACTCTCCATCTTCCTCATATGCAACAATTATAAATAATCTTTTGTCGATCACTCACTATTTCTAAAGTTTGTAAATTCAAGCATTACAACTCTTCTTATTTGTGTTGATGATATTGTACTAATTGGGAATAATGCAGATGGCATATCTTACATCACTAAGTAACTTGTTTAAGCCTTTAAAGTAAAAAATTTGAGAGATCTCACCTACTTTTTTGGTTTTGAAGTGGCTCGTAGTAGTATCGGGCTACACCTTTCTCAACGTAAATATACTATTGATCTTCTTGTTGATAATGTCATGCTTGCATCCGCCCTTGTTGCCACTCCTATGAACTACACTATGAAGATTTCTGGGAATAATGGTGAACCCCTTCCTAATCCAATTACTTACCGACATCTCATATACTTAAGCAATACTAGACCGGACATTACTTACATTGTTTATCACTTTAGCCAATATGTCAAACACTCAGACTATAAATCATCACCAAGTCAACCAACATATCATTCAATGCCTCAAACATGCATTAGGAAAATGTATCTTCTTTGACAAAAATAACAGCATCCACATGAAAGTTTTTAGTGACTCTAATTAGGTTTTTAGTCTTGATACCAATCCTACTAGATGAATATTTACCTTGACAACTCTCTTATAGTATGAAACTCTAAGAAACAAACCATTGTTTCAAAGATCTTGGTTAAAGTGACTCACCTACCTTCTAGATGACCTTAGGATACAACATTCTCAACCAATTTTACTCTACTATGACAATCAATCGATTATCCAAATTGTTTCCAATCTAATTTTTCATAAACAAATTAAACATATTGAAATTGACTATCATATTGTCAGAGAAAAACTACATAACAGTCTCACAAAACTTATTTACATTACTTTCCAACTTTAACATCTTGATATCTTCATTAAAATTCTACCATTCACTTTCTTCAATGATCTTTGTTCCAAGTTGGACATGCTTAACATACATTCACAACTTACAAAAAATTCTTAGTTTCCTCATTATTATTTTTTCATTGATTTATAGCGTGATCTCACTAGCAACTTGACTCGATTAGTCTAACCAATTACTTGTAGTTGATTTTAGTAACTTTTATCTTCCTATTTTGTGTATTTATAGATTTTATGTCTCCTTTTCATATATATCAATAATACAAAATATTTTTCCTCTTTCTTATGTTTCTTTTCTCTTATATCTGTCATATATCAATAATACAGAATATTTTTCCTCTCTCTCTTATGTTTCTTTTCTCTTATATATGTCATAAGGGATTTTCAATTTCAGCTTCAAGAGAAATGAAAAAAATTATTAGTATTATTATTATTTTAATTAAAAAAATATATTTTCTTATTTAAAATATAAATTATTATATCAATCAACTTAATTAAATATTTTTAATTTCTTCATAAATCTTAGTTTATATGGGAAGATGACGAAGGGGTTTAAAGAGGACTTAAAAGTATTTGATGAGTTCTTAAATGTGAATGCCTTAAATAAATAAATAAAAAAAGAAAAAAAAAGAGAAAGAGATCTTAAAAGAATTCCATGTATTTTTGTAATTTGCTGGTGTGAATTACTATATAGAAGTGATGTGATACAGAGAAAACAAATTGAGGAACTTGAGGAGCTTTTCCACGATGAAATGACAGGAAAAAAAAGGCTATGTTTTTCGTTCATTGAAGTTAGAGAAGTGCTTGTTAGAATTTTCAATGCATATATTTATGAAGAAATGGTTGATTTTCAAAATAAACATACTTTTCACCTTTTCCAGCTAATATACAGTAAAATTATCTGTAAGCCATTGAATCTATTTCCATGATAAATTAAGATATATACCAATAACTTAATTAGCATTATCTTTGAGGTGTTAAATCCTGACCAAGAAAGTTGTCTTTGACGAACTAACCGAGTGAAATTCGATGTAATTTCCATAAAGGATGATACTATTACTCAGAAATTTCCATGATTTGCACTGAATGAATAATAATATTCAAGGAAAAATATCAATCATTACATAGAAACGACAAATTAAAATTTTATATTATTTTTTAGGTTAGATCAGTTTTAGTCTATAGAAGAGTTTGCTTTTAGTCTCATGTTATAAAATCTTCATTTTTCATCCTCCATTTCTAAATCTGTATCATAATAATCTTGGATTACTAACTTTGTTAAATGCACCTAGCAATGATACAATTTTAATATTTTCGAGGTTTCAAGCAATCAAATTTTTATCAAATAAATGAAACACGCGTCATCTAAATTATGAGTATCAAATTAATTTTATCCGTTGAATTAAATATTTTACTAATTTTGAGACTAATAATGAAATTTTGAAATGCTACGTGTGGTCAGAACTTGACAAGTGACATGTTTTATATTTATTTTTCAAGGAAAAAAAGTGTACGCGCTAATCACGTAAAAAAAAGTTGTGTTTCATAGTTTTTACAATTTTTTATATAAAATTAATTTACATTGCTATCAATAATAAATTATTTTGTTGACTTTTATTATAAATACTTAAAATTCATATTAACAATGACCTTTGATAAGACGACAATGTAAACTTTTATTATGTAATGATGACATACTCATTAAAGTTAAATGTTATAACAAAAAATTAATTATGTCACGAGTCATGTTATTATAAATTCGAAATTAAAAATAACAAGTTGAAGGAAAACGTGTTAGATTTTCATGTACTCACTAGTGAGACTAGTATAGTTTTCACCGTATTCATATTTCATATTTTGTTAATAAAACCAACCCATGGTAATCCATAAATGGTTCTAAATTACCAATAAATACTAAATTCTTTAAACTGTCAAAATAATACATATTTTACACTGTTAAACCTTTCTTACTGTTAGTTGACAGAGTTACTAACCAAGCACTTTTAAAAAAGGAGAAAAAAAATTGATGCTTTAAAAAAACAAGTTTGAAAAATATGTTTCAAGAGAAGTTGTTTCTTTTGTGTATATATATAATGAGCATGAAAAGAAAATTGATGAAACATGGGTCCCATTAAGTTATCCGTTGTAACAAAATTAATGTTTCTCCTTTCAATCTTGTCCTTGTCTCTTTTATTTCCACATGTGTTAATGTTTCTCCTTTCAATCTTGTCCTTGTCTCTTTTATTTCCACATGTGTTAAATAAGGGAAATGATAGTAATGTCTCTCTTTATATATATATATATTCTTCTTGTCATTAGAAAAAGTTAAAAACTTGATTAAATAGTTTTTAAATTTTTTGGATGTCATAATATAAAAGTAAAATTTTGATATCGTTAACCTGATTTTACATTTATTTATACAAGCAGCCGGATAATTAAGTAAGAGAAAAGGTAAAACAATTTTTTCGTTACTGATGTTTATTGTTACAAAAAGGAAATAAGTATTAAATTAAAGACATATTGAAATAAAAATGTATGTTGAAACCACATGCTCCTTTATTAATTTTCCAGAATAATTAATATCTCTGTCGTGTTAAGGAGTCTTAGTTTATGAAGGTAAAATGAAAAACAAAGTGTTGAAGAGTGCTAGCTCTTAAAAAGATCAATTTTGTTCATTTGCTAGCTTCACCAATATTATCTATCTTTCACCCATTAATTACCTTCTCCATACGTCAATGTCCTTCCACTCCACTTATTGCCGACACTTTGTGCCCCACTGGATACAACTTACTGTCTCTATATATTAACATCAAGGACCACGTGAACATATTATAAGTCTAAGGTATATGGATATTCTTTCTAGATATCCAAAGAGATTTTCTAATATAATAAAGATAAACTATTCTATAATTTCGTTGTATTTCTTTAACTTTTAAGTATTTTTCATATTAATTCACATCATATTTATTTATTAATTTAAGTACCAGATAATATTTATACATGGTTTATTCCTTCTTCTTAACTCAATTCGATACTATTTAGGAAATGACAGAGTTCGATCAAATTTATATATCGATGAAAACAATGGACATTAATCATAAAATATAAATTTCCGACCACAGAGTTAAGAGATTTGTTTAAGGTGACTTTTATCTCTCCTCCCATTATGTCTCCGGCAATGATCACCAAAATGCCTCGATCGGCTTCCCAAGATAATTATAATTAATTTATGCAGAAACAAAATTAATTTTCATAATCTACTTTAGACTATAAAAAATATATATCATCCATTTTTCTAAAGTGTATTTGGACATAGAAGCTAAGAAAACTTTGAAAGGTTCTTTAAAAACTCAATATCTGTCAACTATTTTAATTTATACGTCATTATTTTTTCTTTTAGATGTAAACAGATAGATGTTTATCACAGAATACACTGTGGCAACAAAATTCAACATGCTAAAAAAAATGCTCCTCTGTGCCCTATACACAAATTTATTGGGCTTACTGGAACCGAAGCAACCCATTATATAATGTATATTTTCATCACAATCTGAGTTGAAAGAGTCATGCGTGCATACAAGGAGATAAATTAAGAACTGCATAAGAGTGTACCACCCACAATATATAGCCGATTCGTCTGTGTCATTTAATCAATCTTTCGTAAGCACATTCTAGAAAGGGACTCACATACTTTACTCATAATCAAAAAGAGAATTAGACAATTCCATTAAGAATGATTGGTGTTATTCTGATGTGTTTTAAAGGGTTAGTTTACATGTATTAAATGCACCAATCATTTTAGGTGGAGTTGATCCATTTTTAACTTTGGTAAGTTAGACAAGCCTTTTAGACAGACATACATTACATTACATTTGACTGACATGGTGAAAATGATCAAAGTTATTCTCTCCATGGTACATGAAACTTGAAAAATGCAATGTCTAGATATTCAATTCAATCCAATCAATACATGGTCAAGATTACGAAAGGTGTAACTAAAGCAATTGGCTTTCCTCAAAGTCCTGGGTGCTGAAATGAGGAGAAAACATCCCAAAATCCATTTCCAGACTCCGAAAGCCCAGTGCATGAAAATACAGTATCTGCATTTTCAGATGCTATTTTCAAGGAAGGCTTGTCATTCGGCAGTTCAAAATCCTTCAAATCAGACCACAGGTTGGAATCTGTAAGATCACTCGGATCAGTCTCATCATGATTGGGATATTCTTGTTTAACAATTGGGCTTTGAGATCTGATAGGAGGACTATGTTGCTGTTGTTCATTTGGCACATTTGAGTCTGGATGGGAATTCTCAAGAAATGAGTCCCAGGTTTCAGAATATGTGACCATTTGTAGAGCCTTGAGGGTGTCTTTGCATGTGTGAAAGCCTATGTACGTAATATTGAACATATCAGTATTCTCTTGTAACCGTTGCACCTGTTTTGTGGCTTTGCATCCTTGTTCAAACTTCCTAGTGCACCTGAAGTAACTCCTGAGAATCGTTTATCATTATTGCTTAGTTTAATGAAAAGGAAAGAAATTGAGGAAAATGATAATTTTAAAAAATAATGTATGAAAAAGAAAGATTATTTCATTTTTTTTTATTATTATTATCATTATTATTTAAATTTTTTAATTATTTATTATCACTATAATAAAAGAAATAAATAAAAAGTATATTTATATATATAAACACCCATAATCCATTTCCCCACTTTTCTCTCATTTCCTTCGTTTTCCTCTTTTCTTCACGTACCTACTTATTCAAACCACCACCACTCATCCTCCAATACTTCACACGTTCATCATTTCCTATTTCCATTGTCCATTCCAAACAAACCCTAAATAGGAGTTAATTAGAAGATAAGTGTGTGTGGGTGTGTGTAACAAAATTTAAATTCAAGTCATTGTACCCATGAAATTGTAAATACAGTAAGTTAAAGTTTCCTAAGTAGTAGTAATTACTTTGAGTTTATTTCATTTTTGGTATATCAGAAAAGGAAATGAGCATACATGCAACCGAAATAACACAGAAAAGAGTGTACTTCTAGCATTCCCAATTAAGGTTTTTTTCTTAAGATGATATTTCTATGTAAATCACTCTGTAGCTAAACTTGAAGCTTGGGCAATAAAAAGGAAAGGAAAAGAACCCAAAATAGAAAAAGACAAATGAGTGGTGATGTAATATTTGCTCGAATTAGACTGGTGAATATCTTACCTTTGTTGTGTGGAATGAAAAATAATGATTACCTGGGAAACTGAGAATTTAGGATATCCTTTTGTCCGTACTTTCTCCATGCATGATTATCATCGGTAGTTTTTGAAACTATGGTCCATGTCTGTTCAGTCTTCCTGCGCAGCGATTTAAGGCATACCATGCATGTTATTTTCGTCTAATAATACACCCTTGTTGAAGATTAAGAATATGTAAAAGAAAAGTAATCATTGCTCATTGCTTTATTTTAAAAAATACCATGCCTTTTTTTCCAAATAGCAATTTATGTTTACACAAGAAAGAGAACAAAGAGAGAGAGAGAGAGGGAGAGATTGAATGAATATGAAGGTAAAGTATATAACAAAAAGAAAATTTCAAGTTAAATAATTGTATAGTTTTCATACGAGATTACATCAAGGCATGCCACTCACTAAGCTAAAATAAAGGAACCCACTTGAAAATTTCTTGCACACACTAATCAAATCAACGGATGAGAACTAAAATATTCAAAAAGTCCACTAACTTAGCCTCAAAGCTTCAATTTTTTTTTTTTTTTTGCCATCAAGAAAGATTATCTTTACTCATATGGACGATAACTAGGACACTGTCCGTACACGTCCCAATTCGCCAAATCCTCTCAGCACCACCTCCCAATTCACCGACAAACAAAGTTTGTTGACTGAGGAGGTAGTATAGCAACATCCAAATAGTATAAATTCATTATGGATAAGTTTTTCTATAAGGGTTTATAAAGGATGAAAATAAGAAACAAAAAAAAAAAAAAACTTTTTTAGTTAACTGAAATTAATTCCTGAATGAAACAAAATCTGTATTTTTTAAACAATTTAAAATCTCTACAAAGGGATAAAATAGATCACAGAAGGGAAACGAGAAAGAGTGAAACTAAAACCTTCTTTTGTAGGAACCTCTGCGATCCCTTGAGAGGGGCAACGATCTCCTTCTACTCTCAGTTGAACCCTCAGACCTGGGATCAATGCTTTCAACCTGCGAGGCATCTTCCCCGGAAATTACGAGATTCTGAGCAATCTCTTCTTCAACACTTGCAGCCTCGGAAGAAGTCAACACAGATATCGTTTCAGCGAAAGATCTCTGCACATTGTTCAAAAGTTCCTTAGCTGAAACAGACCCATCAGGGCCATTAGGGTTCTGAAGCAGAAACTTGAGCTGAGTGGCATAGCCGAGACCCTGAACAAGCTTTGTGACGACCCTTTTGCTCGTGGCTGAGGTAGTTGGAGGGGAAAGAGCGCTCATTGTTATTGGTCTCTACTTGGTGGCTAAGGATCTATTGTTATATATTTTTGTTGGAGAATTAGGATTAGGAAATAGTGCTTTGGAGAGAAGGAAGAAAGAGGTGGGGTTTTGCGAGGAAAGAGAGACAGAAGTGAATGGAAAATGTTGGGAAGGAAGGGGGTGACGTTGAAATGTGGAGAGAATTATTTTCCACAGATAATAACTTACTTTGCTTACAAAGCTAACCATGACGTTGCTCTTCTGATGCAAGGGTGACGCTGCATAATTTTTTTTTTTTCTTGAAAATTAGAACTTCCACAAGTTGGAGATGATGACAACTGTTTTTATTTTTTATATATTCAAATCGAAAAAGGACCGTGCTTCTTGTACACAACCACGTTACTCCTTTTAATGCTTATTAAATTATTCACCCTGTTTTGTTTATCTGTTTACCTAAGTAAAAAAAATAGCAGTTTTTAACATATTTATCATTATCACAATGAAAAAGAAATAATAATAAATATTACTATACTTATAAGAATATTAATATCAGTGTGTTGAGAAGTACAAACCTTTGTCGTCCAAAATATTTTTTATTATATATAAATTACAAAAATGATAAATAAATACATAAATTGAAAATTTTGTTAGTATTGTCTTTTATAAGTACAAGTTCATAAATTCCTTGCTTCTAACTTTTACCAGATTTGACAGCAACATGAATCTACTATTTTTAAAATAGATTGTTAGTACGATATCCTTTCATTGTTAATGTATACTTATCATATTCATACTAATAACTTAATTTCTGTTCAAAAAGATTATTGATTATGCCTAACCAAACAAAATAGTTTTAACTATTTTCATTCTGATTTTATGATTTATTATTTTATCAATGAAAAAATATTTACTCACTTTATTAAAAATAATTTTTATCGGTTGGTTTTACACCTTTTTATTAGACTTTTCGTTTCTTACCTTCTTCAGTTTATAATATTTAAACAATATTTTTTAGAAAAATTCAAACCTATAAGATAGTGTAATTTTTAAGATAACAAAATGAATTGGATTTGATGGATCAAGATAAAAGTTAAACTCACTAACTCATTCTGCTTAATTCATCCATGGATCAACTTACTAAACTAATTCAAATATATATAGAAATCATTCTAAAAATATAAAGATTTGAGTTTTACTAGAAATTAATATTTATTTTTAGTAATCTAATAATTTAAAATAATATGATATTACGAATGTGTTATTTGGATTTATTAAGTATTCTAATTGTGTAATTCTAGACTTTTAAACATGTTACATATTTCAATTGGCAACTGAATCAAAATTTATATAAATGTAATGTTCGAATCCAATTATGATTAAAATATGGAGGATCAAAATTATATATTTGTGTTTGATTATAAATTCATCCGAGTTAGAATCTAAAAATACTAAAATTACAAAAGGGATATACTTGAGGAAAAAAAAAATAACTAAACCTATATTTTATCTTATAACAATGACCATTTAATGAATTGTTTTGCTAACTGTTGTTTATACTCAAAGTTAATTTCACAATTATATTAAAAAACTATGAAAGAAAAAATATCCAAGAAGGTACACTTCACCCCTTAAAAATATCATCAATTATTGAATGTACTGAGTAGTGATGGAGACGTGTGAATAAGAGATAGAAATTGGATGATAACATTAAATAGTAGTGTTGTTGATAGAAGCAAGAATAAGATAATATTATATGGTTGAGTTGAGTTGAGGTCACAGTTAACACTAGTTTGCCACTTGCTTAGAGGCTGGTTACAATTTGCAACTTAATGGCCAATGGTAATGAAAATTGAAAATGGTTTTGATTTTGAAAAGCTTGGTTATTAGGGTTCACAATCTTATTGTGCGTGCCAATTATCCAATTGGTGGATGGTACCATCTTTTGACCAATTTATAATTTATGCAAATACTCCTCCATAGGTTATTTGTCATGTTTGAGCCACTTGTATGGAGAGTGATGATTAAATTATTCTAAAAATAAAGTTGTTTTATTTTTAAATTTTTATGTATGTTAAGTATAGAAAGTTCATCACTGAGTTGAATTTTTTTTCTTTTTTTAATTTGGATAGATCAAATTTATATTTAGTATAGTCAAACATAAATTTATCAAAATTTCTTTTTCAAGATGTGAGTCCTTTTGCGTGTGTAGGTAAATAATATTTCTTATCTATGTGTCATTTTCATGACTCAAAAATTAAAATTTATTATAAAAAAATGACAATGATAAAAATGACAATATGAATATTTTAAATATTATATAGAAAACATTCATTAAATAGGCTATAGTCTATCTCTCCTCAAATTACTATTTTATAAATTGAATGGATGTTTATAATTTTATTTCATTAAACAATTACTTAAATTAAATATAAAAAGTAAAATATACTCTGGTTTAATTTTAATTTTAAAATATTTTACAAATAGATTTTTAATTACATCAAAATTATTAAACACTTTTCTTAAAAAATATTGTCAATCAATTTATGATAAAAAATTGTGAAATGAAAATAAATGTTTTAAATCTTTGTATCTGATTTTTTTATATTTATAATTTTAATTTCTCTCATATTTATAATGTTGGGGTATTAAGTCAAAGTTAGAAAAATAATATTTTGTTTTTCTGTTATGCATGACTCGCTGATGTATATATAAACAGCAACCATTTTCAATAAATATACAGTCTCTGTTTTACGTAACATTTTTACGTTGCATGTTGCATGCATGCTCTCTCTCTCTCTGATCTAATATGGTATCTAGAGCAAGGAGATTTGGTGAGGTCAGTTTCTTGTGAGGTGGTATTCTTGGAGCATCAGACTAAAAGGTTCAAGAAGTGTGTCAGTTAGGAGAGCTGGTTCTTGTGTTATCAAGAAAGTGCAGAGAGAAGAATCTGTTTGGTGGTGCTAACAAGAAAGTTGCGGGGAACATGACTGGAATGGGGAGCATTATACAAGGAGGGCTGCCGGTATTTGACGGAAAAATGTTTGACGAGTGGAAAATCAAGATGATGGCAGTGTTTGGTTTCCAAGATGTTGCAGAGATTATCCAAGAAGGTATAGGAGAACTTGGTAGTAAAGCTACAGAAGAAGAGAAAAAGTTCTTTAAACAGCAACAAAAATTGGACAGCAAAGCTAGATTTTTGTTATATCAATGTGTAAATTCAAAGATCTTCAACAAGATATGCAAGGCTAAAACAGCCAAGGAGATATGGGAGATCTTGCTGAAAACTTATGGTGATGGAGACAAACACAAGAAGGTGAAGTTACAGGCACTAAGAAGGAGATTTGAGTTTCTTCTTATGGAAGAGAATGAATCCATTGCAGATTATTTTGACAAGATTCAAGAGTTGGTAAATGCTATAAAGACATGCAATGATCCTATCACTGAGCAGCAAGTGGTTCACAAGATTCTACGATCACTTCCCTCCAAGTTTGATCACATGGTGATAACTATAGAAGAAACTAAAGACTTAGAAACACTGGGGATAGATGAGCTTCAGCACTCGTTAGAAGCACATGAATACAGAATTTATGAAAGAAAAGCGATACATGAGCAGGTGTTACAAGTCAGAACAGGTTACAAGGGCAAGTTCAAAGGAGAAAAGAAAGATCGAAAACAGTGGAAGGGAAGCAAAAATCAAGAAGAAACTGAAAAGAGTGGCGTAGAAGGGGAGTCTACTGGGGACAAAACCTGGAAGTTTGATAAACGAAAGGTTCGGTGCCATAACTGTCAGAAGCTGGGTCACTTTGCCCGTGAATGTTGGCACAAAGAAGGTGCGAAAACCAAGCCCAAGAATCAAGCTAATCTTGCACAAGATGAAGGATCTGATTCTGAAGCAGTAATGTTGATGGCCCAGGTGTCTTCCGATATGAAAGAAGAAGCTGCTTGGTACTTAGACTCAGGCTGTTCAACTCACATGACTGGGAGAAAAGATTGGTTTGTAAAAATGAAAGAAGTTGTTCATGGGAAAATACGGTTTGCTGACAACAGTAGCTTAACAGCACAAGGAACTGGAAGAGTGGTTTTGAGAAATGACGAAGGAAGAGAAGTCGTTGTTGAAGACGTGCTATATGTTCCAGGCCTGAAGACAAATCTGCTTAGTCTAGGTCAACTTCTGGAGAAGGGATTTGTTATGACAATGAAGGATAATTGCATGAGTGTGTTTAATCAATCAAATAAACTCATCATTCAGACTAATCTGTCACAGAACAGAACGTTTAGAGTGGGAATGAATGCTTTGAAGCATCACTGCTTTGCTGTTGCAGAAAGTAGAGCAGAATGGATATGGCATCATAGATATGGGCACTTGAATTTCAGAGACTTGTGTCAACTTGAGCAAAAGAAAATGGTGGTAGGCTTACCTCGTATAAAAGCTCCTGATGAAGTTTGCAAGGAGTGCATTCAGTGTAAACAAACCAGAAACAACTTCAGCAAATTTGTATCTCAGAAGACAGTGGAGAAGTTGGAACTGGTGCACACTGATATCTGCGGGCCAATACAAGTTGAAACCCCTGGAGGTAGCAGATATTTTCTGACTTTTACAGATGATTTGACCAGAAAAATGTGGACATTTTTGCTCAATAGGAAGAATGAAGCACTGGAAACATTTAAAAAGTTTAAGTGTCTTGTTGAAAGGCAAAGTGGGTTGCAGTTAAAGATACTCCGAAGTGATGGTGGGGGAGAGTATACCTCACAAGAGTTTCGTGAGTTTTGTGAGAATACTGGAATTGTTCAGGAAGTTACACCCCCCTATACACCTCAGCATAATGGCACTGCTGAAAGAAGAAACAGAACACTACTTAACATGGTTAGGTGCATGCTGAAAAGCAAAAATCTACCAAGTTACTTGTGGGGTGAGGCAGTTATGACTGCTACTTATGTTTTGAATAGAGCTCCAACTAAAAGGTTAGATGGAATAACCCCTGAGGAGACATGGAGTGGGATGAAACCAAATGTTGCTCACTTGAAGATATTTGGTTCTGTATGTTACAAGCATTGTCCTGATCAGTTGAGAAGAAAGTTGGATGATAAAGGTGTGCCACTAATCTTGATTGGTTATAACTCAACAGGAGGGTATAAACTGCTGGATCTTGAGAATAACAAAGTCTCGTACAGTAGAGACGTAATTGTTGATGAAGACTCAAGCTGGAACTGGGGTCGACATCAAACGAGACATCTCGGACTGGAATTATGTTGGATGTGGATTCTTCAGCAGGTGAACTAAGTGTTGAAAATCGGTATCAATGAGAAGAGATGACAACCAGATCGATGAGAAGATCAACAAGAGCAGTGCGAGAGACCAATACACCTGCAAGATTATGAAGTATTTTCAGATTCTACTGTAACTACTGAAGGCAATTTAATTCATTTTGCTTTGATAGCTGAAGCTGAGCCACTCACATTCGAAGATGCAGTAGTTGATGAGAATTGGTGGAAGGCAATGAAGGAGGAGATTGCCTCTATTGAGAAGAATCAAACATGGGAATTAGTTGATGCTCCTAATGACAAAAGACCCATTGCTTTGAAATGGGTTTATAAAGTCAAAGTAAATCCACAGGGGAAGTGGTGCAGTACAAAGCCAGACTTGTGGCCAAGGGTTTTCTACAGCAAGTTGGAATAGATTATGGTGAAGTATTTGCACCAGTGAGCTGAATTGAGACAGTTCGAATGGTGGTATCGGTTGCAGTTCAAGCTGGCTGGATTCTGCATCAATTGGATGTTAAATCAGCATTTCTAAATGGTCCTCTGGAAGAAGAAGTGTTTGTGGTACAGCCACAGGGTTTCGAAGTTAAAGGCCAGGAGCATAAGGTGTATAAGCTTAACAAAGCTTTGTATGGATTGAAGCAAGCTCCTAGAGCTTGGAATCAAAGAATAGATAAGTTTTTGAAGCAAATTGGGTTTGACAGATGCATATCTGAACATGGTCTGTATGTGAAGTGCTGGAATGGAGATATAAGAAGTGAGAAGTTGATAGTATGTCTATATGTGGATGATCTTCTGGTAACTGGAAGCAGTGCAGATCAGATAAAAGTTTTTAAATCTCAAATGTTTAACGAATTTGATATGAGTGACTTAGGTAAACTCAATTATTTTCTCGGAATTGAGTTCACCAATACAAAACATGGAATGATAATGCATCAAACAAAGTACACACAAGATGTTTTGAAGAGATTTCGGATGATGGAAAGTAACTCTGCAGTAACACCAGCAGAGACAGGACAGAAGCTTACACCTGGTAAGGATGAAGAGCGTGTAGATGCTACTAACTACCGCAAGATTGTAGGGAGTTTGAGGTACCTCTGTAATTCCAGACCTGATTTAAGTTATAGTGTTGGCTTGATCAGTAGATATATGCAAGATCCAAGGGAGTCTCACATGTATGCAGCTAAAAGAATTCTGAGGTATCTTCGTGGTACAGTGGGCTACGGAATTTTATTTCCAAAACCTGAAACAGCAACTACAGTAGTGGAATTGATGGGGTATTCAGACTCAGATTGGTGTGGTGATAAAGGAGATAGGAAAAGCACTGCAGGGTATGTTTTCTTCTTAGGAGGAGCTCCAATTTCGTGGAACTCAACTAAGGAATCTGTAGTGGCTTTGTCCTCATGTGAAGCAGAATACATTTCTGCATCAGAAGCTTCGTGTCAGGCAGTTTGGTTGAAAGCAGTTTTGCAAGAATTGAAGGTGGAGTTGTCATGTAAGGTGAAGCTTTTAGTAGATAATAAATCTGCTATAGATTTAGCCAAACATCCAGCTTCACATGGGCGGAGTAAACATATCGAGACACGTTTTCATTACATTCGTGATCAAGTGTGCAATGAAAAACTTGTTATTGAATATTGCAAGTCAGAAATTCAACTTGCAGATCTTTTTACTAAAGCCTTTAAAGCTGAGAGATTCATTTGGTTGAGAGATGCGGTTGGAGTTGTTAATATAAATACAACTTTGACTTAAGGAGGCATGTTGGGGTATTAAGTCAAAGTTAGAAAAATAATATTTTGTTTTTCTGTTATGCATGACTCGCTGATGTATATATAAACAGCAACCATTTTCAATAAATATACAGTCTACTGTTTTACGTAACATTTTTACGTTGCATGTTGCATGCTCTCTCTCTCTCTGATCTAATATATAATACATAATTGTATAATTAAAATTTGAAATATAAATTTGCAATCATATTTGTATGTATATATATACACCTAAAATCATCTCATGGGCCTAGTTTTAATAAGCGGTGAAACCGAGCCCAAAATTCAAAATGTTCCTAAATTGGAACTTCAAATTTAAAACTTAGCAGAATCTCAACTCGCCTAATGGAACTTAGGTATTAGTAAATATTTTCAAATTAATAAAGAATTTGATTATTAGTATATATTAAAAAATATTTTGAAGAATAAAAACACATAACAGTTATTCATTATAAAAATCTGTAATAAAATTAAATATATATAATAAAACGTAAAATTAATTATAATTACAACAATTAATTTTGTAGTCAACAGTTATAATAATTATATTTGATCTTTAAAGGATATGGCGACATTCAACTAGTGAAATCCTTTGATAAAATAAATAATAATTTTAACCAAAGTTTAACGTTCTACTCATTCTTATTTCAAATTTTAACAAACTTATAAACTATTTAATTAATCTAAATCTATTCTAAGCTTAAACCAACCAAGTGGGTTTACATTTATTTGAAAATAGTGAATAAAATGAACCAAAAAACGAGGAATTATTAGAACTGAATCGTAAAATTCATGGCTTGTTCGTTACATGTTGTTCATTCTTGACCCAACGACCTCAATATATTTGGCTAATTACTGGATATTTTTTAATACTTTTTATTGCGAGTGTCATTTTGATGCAATAACATTGTAAAATTATTTTCTTAAAAATACAATATATATTTTTTACACGATAATCAGAAATTGTGATTAAATAAATATTTTCGTTTAAGAATAATTAAATATTAAATATTAATTATTTATTTGACTTGGTTTCATTTCAAAAGGAATAATTCTCGTTTATTTTAGAATTGATTGAAATTGAAGCGGTGCTCGTAGGGTTCACTTTCGTTGTTGAGATTCGACAAAATGGCCGGTTTACCAGCGAGGTTCCGTCTACAACCCGCCGACGTCAAAGCCGCCGCCATGTGGGGAGTTGCGGCCGCCACCGGCGGACTCTACCTCGTTCAGGTTAACATCTTTATTCTCCCTCCGTTAGTTCGATTTTCATTATTTTTTAATTTCTGGCTTTTGAATTTGCCTTGATGTCAAGGATTTGCGCACTGTGCCTTGTTTGGCCCTCACTTTGACGAGTTTACATACTGATCTGAAATTTAGTTTTCGAATGTTATGTTTTTGTGTAGTTTAATCTAAACTCATATCCGGATTGCCTCTTATGAATTCGTATTCTAAACTTAATGGTTTCTGCTGATTGTGTTTAGTTTACGTTATCCACTGTTTCTTTTTCCCTGATCGCCGATGTAGCTGTCTGAACGGTTGGTTAATGGCTTTTTATTTGAAGTCTCGTGATGAATTGCGTCAACATTTGGATCTCTGTTTGTATAGCGCTATAGTGCGCTCTTAACTTTGAGGCATTTTTATTTTACATTCTTAAATCTCAGGATGTGAAAAATTCAGGGGTTAGATTTCATGTTAAATTCTGTTTATTATCCCATTTAATGAAGTTCATCTGAAAAGAAATTAAGGAATGGGATTCATGTACTCAAACAATGTACACGATGAAGGATAAAATGGAATGAAGAAACAAAAATATGAGGTAAAACGATAAGAAAAAAAATCAGAATTTTTGCCCTCTTTCTTTTGACTTTCTGTGCCTCCCTGCCCACCTCTCCTTCGTGGTTGGAATGCAATGAAATGGGAACAAATTAGGCTGGCATATCTAGGACTTCTCTTTCTTGCTGAAATTTTAATAAGATATACAAGTATTTACATCATAGTTTCATAAAATTTAGTGTATGTTTGTTTACCATCCAAATCAATTTTACATTGTGACACACGGTTCAATTTAATTTGTGTCGATAAAATTAGTCGTACAAATATATCAATAACATTTAACAGTTTAAAATTGAAACCATCAGAACCAGATCCACCAAACTTTAAAACAATTGAACACTTGTTTATTCAAGATTCATTCACGATTCGTTGTTATTTAAGAGGTGCCTAGTACAATTTTGTTTAATACTTTTTAACTTACTATTTTGCTTCATGATGGACCAAACGTGTTTGGTAGTTTTTGTATGTGATGATGATGGAAATCTTGTCTGTTACAACTTAAAATTTCTACTCTCAAGTTCCAACAAAAATTGGTTCATATGGTCTGCTTTTGATAGGTATCTTATTGAATGTGTTGTTTGCTGAATTTGACATTCTCTCCTTGCCACAATAGAAAAAATAAAAGGAAATGCTGTCTGATTACATATTCCCGTGATTCAAGTTATAGGATGAAGAGTGACTGCACGAAACAATTGTGCTTGGGTCAGTGAAAATGACTCCAACACTTTGAAGATGTATATCTTGATTGTAATGACATGTGTGACAAATACCTTGGATTGAGACTAGGTACTGTTTACTAGAAAAAACAATGGAGGCTACACCTCACTCAAATAGAAAAAATGCAGAAATTTAAAGATGAATCGAGTGTATCCTACTGATGCTCAGAACCTCACCTCTAACCTAAACCTATTCCCTTTTCCCTTCAAATCAGGATCACCTGCACTACCTATCCTTTCCTAAGATACTCTTGTTTTTCTGCAATTCCAAGCCTTACTCTATGCTTTCCCTACTCAGCCTTTTATTTTGCTCTCAAGACTTAATGACATGAATATCTCCCGTATTTTCTGTAGAAAGGATTGTGATATAATGTCCCCAAATAAATTCACTTCAAGTGGGATATGTTCGATTTTTCCATATGTTGAAAGTCCCGTATCGCCTACCTCATGTCATTTGGTATGGTTTAAATACATATTAGGCTACTCCACATATTACCAATTTGTTTTATGTTGGAACCTTAACATGGTATCAGAGCCAAAGCCTAACATCTTTCCAGTTATTGTCATGGGTCAAAAGTTGCTCTTAAGTTGGGTCAAAAGTTGCTCTTAAGTTGGGTCAAAAGTACCCTTTGCCTGGTCCGGCAGACTTTGTTGGAAGGGGCGTGTTGAAAGTCCCATATCGCCTACCTCATATCATTTGGTATGGTTTAAATACATGTTAGCTTATTCCACGTATTGTCAATTGGTTTTATGTTGGAACCTTAACACCATACAACAGTTTCATGATAAGAGATTTTCTTAAATATCTTTCCTCACTGTGTATTAGTATCATGGCTAATTGTGGGTTTTTCTATTTTGGTATCTTGTGTCTGTTATTTCGCTTCAATATGTGTATTCATATCTGGATTCTGTTCGATTTTGAGTGAAGTCTTTATTCATTTTTTGTTGAAATCATTAACAGCCATGGGGATGGTTGAAGAAGACATTCTTGGAGAAGCCAGAACCTGAGCAAAAATGAGTTGGTATCTGAGAAGAATGTTTTGAATTTTGGGATCATGTGAAGGATTAGTCAAAGAATAACAGTCGAATAATGTCATTTTCTGCTGAGGTTTTCTAACACCTGTTTTGTGTTATGAATTTGGATATTCAATTTTAATGTTCTATGCTGGTGGTTTTACCGGATTATTTTTTTATTTTAAATCAACTTCCTTCTTGCTCCACCATACCGAAGGAACGAACTGTAGAATTTTGTGGCAATATCATTCCACGCTGAGGATGATATATTTGGAATTTCTCACGTTTCTGTAAATTAAAACTGTGCATAAGAGATCAAAACTCTATTACCTAGAACGTGGAAATCATAAATTTGTTTCAATAACGTTAATATTAATTAGATGACTATTTCGAAAAAATATATATAGAATTTACAATTATCTTTTAATTTTTACCCATTTGTTTAGTTCTTCAAACAATGAGAATTTTTTTAACTAGATACATAATACGTTTTTGGACAAATTGCTTTATTTATTTATTCAATTTGGTTTATTTATCATATTCTTTTTATGTAGTTTTTTAATTGTGAAATAATTAATATGACATTTTCAATCGGTTCTCTGGTCGACAAAAATATTTCATAATTGGATGTGGAATATATGATAATATAATTAATAATTATTATTATCGTTATATTGTTAAAAAAATGATTGTTAAATCTTAACATTAGCCTAATCTAAGCAAATATAGACGTGTAAGTGGGGAATTAACGGCGGTGAGAAAATAGAGTGAAAAGCTTACAAGGACGATAAATACTTTTGTTCAGTAAAGTTTGCATCTCACTATAGAAAGCAAGAGGAAAAATAGACTCTTGAGCTTGAATGATTTGAAATAATAGAACAAGCACTACATTATAGAAACAATGGTTTTAAACTTTGAGCAACATACTTCTATATATGATGTTAGTTACCATCGAATAAACTGCCATTTTTTTCCCTTAAAGTGCTGCTGATGTTAAATTAATCTTCGAAGGATGGAAAATGGTTTTTAAAAAATTCTGAAATTGCATTTTGTCCAGCAAATTAGTCGGTGTAGTTGATAATTTATGAAGAGATGAACAATGTCTTTAAAAAAAATGCAATTAACCAATTTTTTATAAACCATAAAATATTTCTAACTATTCTGATAAACATTACCATTTTAAAATTAAAAATTTTCTTTATTTGCTTGTAAGATAAGATATCACCATGTTGTGGTTTTGCATTCTATGAAACATATTCTTCATAAATATTTATTGGTTGCTCATGCTCATTAAGGAAAGACCACTACTATAAATAAGACTTTCCACGTCGGTTCGGAAGGCCTTCAACTGCGGTTCCAGAACCGACGTTGAAAGTCCCGACTTTCAAATCGAAAATTTTTATTTATTTTCAATCTATTTATCTAGAAATCCCCCTCTCTTTTATATTATATTTTTATTATTTATCATCTTTTTTTGAAGTTTAGAGCATTACCAAATTAATTTTTTGTCACCGACGTGATTCGAACCCAGATACATTAGTGTTGGAGGTCGATACTCCAACCACTAAACTACTCAAATTTTTTGATGATAACTTACAAATAAATTATATTTATATACAAATAAATATATATCCGTGTAAATATATAAATATACAAATACAAATATATTTATATATTTTGATATATTTATATAATTATATATTTATATGTTGGATGTGAGGGCACGCTCGAAGGTGAAAGTGTGTCGAGTGAGTTTTCAAAATTTGATGCCAAATTTGTGAGCGAGTATCTTTATATGAGTTTGTAATTTAATGACAGAATATGATATTTATAATTTATTAATGATATAAAATAAATTTGAGAAACGCATCATTCGCTCAAGCGAAAAGTACTAATTTTCGCTCAAGCGAGGCTTGAATGAGTGAATTTCCGTGAGTTTTAACGTATTTTCACTCAAGCGAGAGTCAATCTCACTTTCACCCTCGAACGCGCCTTCACATCCAACATATAAATATACAACTATATAACTATATAACTATATAAATATATATAAATATATCAAAATATATAAATATATTTGTATTTATATATTCTATATTTATATATTTACACGAATATATATTTATATGTATATAAATATAATTTATTTGTAAATTATTATAAAAAAATTATAGTAGTTTAGTGGTTGGAGTATCAATTTTCAACTCTAAAATACTCGTGTTCAAATCTTGTTAGTAACAATTCTCTAACTTAAGTAAATTTTTGGCTGAAAAAAAATAAAAACACTTTCCGGAAAATATAAATAAATATATATTTACACGGATATATATTTATTTGTATATAAATATAATTAATTTGTAAATTATTATCGGAAAATTATAGTAGTTTAGTGGTTGGAGTATCAACTTTCAACTCTAAAATATCGAGTTCGAATCTCGTCGCTGACAATTCTCTAACTTAAGTAAATTTTTGCTTGAAAAAAATAAAAACACTTTCCGGAAAATATATATAAATAAATATATATTTACACGGATATATATTTATTTGTATATAAATATAATTAATTTGTAAGTTATTATCATAAAATTACAGTAGTTTAGTGGTTGGAGTATCAACTTTCAACTCTAAAATACTGGGTTCGAATCTGTCGATGACAATTCTTGAATTTAAGAGAATTTTTGGGTGAAAACACATTTAACGTCGGTTCATCCGGGAACCGACGTTGAATGTCTAAATTAAAAGACTTTCAACGCTCGGCTCATCTAGAGCCGAGCGTGGAAAGTGCTTTCTACGCTCGGTTGACTAAGAACCGACGTAGAATATGTCCAACATTCAACTTTCAACGTCGCTTTTTAACCAACCGACGTTGAAAGTGTATTTAACGTCAGCTCAGCTTTAACTGAGCGTTAAATGGCGATGTTGAAAGCATATTTTGTAGTAGTGGGCACATTTCTTTTAAATACTTTATAATATTAAAAAAAACAAATAAAAATTTCACACACCTTTGTTTCCCTTTGCGTCACACATGCGAAAAACCTAGTTAAAATTATAAGAAGAAAAGTATGAATATTTTTCTCAAAAATATTTATCTATCTAAACACAAGATTTATAACTGTTACTGTCAGAATTCAATTATGGAGGAATCAAATTTTGATCATCAAAATTATCGACATTCCTGAAGTTTAAAATTCGATTTTTGGTAATCGAATTCAGAACAAGATTTTGATTTTTTTTTCGTGTATGTATTTTAATTTGAAATAATTAAATTAAAGTAACTTGTATAATATAATATAATTAAACAAACAGTATTATTAAATATTAACATTAATTAAATTTTAAAATAATTCAATTTTTTTATTAAACTAAATTAATATTCATTAAACATTTTAATTGTACAAAATAATTATTTAATATTTTTTTATTATAATATATCTAATAATTAAAATAAATTGTTAACCATATTATAACTTAACATTATCAATTAAATAATGAATAAATAATATGTAAATTTTAATATTAATTTTAAATAGTGTTAATAATGTAAAATATTAACTGATATAAATATTATATAATAAAGGTAAAAACTTAAAACGTAGAGATTGTATTTTGTATGGGAATTAATAAAATTAGTAAATATTTAAAATTAATGTTAAAATTAAATTAACACAAAAAATTAAAAATGTGTTATTTGAGTCAATTTTATGCAGATGTGCTCTTTATGTATATTTATGTCAAAAAATGCTATATAAAAAATAAATCTTCTAATACATATTAAAAAGGAGACTTTTGTCAAATATGATCATAAGACAATTCTTTTTGTTCAAACTATCTATAAAAAAAAAAATTAATTTCTAGCACATGAGTGCAATATAAAACAAAAGACATGCATTAAAATTAAAATATTATTCTTACATCACAATAATTTTTTACTAAACCTTCAATGTGTAAAATGTAATAAGTTCCTATCCCTTGAAATTCATATGAATTAAAAAATTAATAAAAAGTACAATATCAATGGTATATTTTAAAAACCATAAAATAAAATTTAATACCTTGATGAACAATTATGCGTGTAGAGGATAGCTTCTTCATGAAGAGCTATGCATGCACAAAAAAACCTTTGTTGTCACGGATGATCACAAGAGCCAAAGAAAGGTGTTAGGCACCAACTTTAGTAGAGCTACTATGAAATTGGTTACACAAATTTTTGTTTCAACTATGGAATTTCTTTAGCCAACACGACACTATTTCCATTTGCACCCAAGTTTATTATAGATTTTTATTCTTTTTAATTTTATCTCTCTAATATTATATTTTTATATCTTTATTTTTTTATTTTTATCTTTGTTTAACAACATAATTTATTTTATCTTATATTTTTATTATTATTTAAGTTTAATTAATCATTTAATTAATTTAAATAAATAATTATATCATTTTTTTAAATGGGAGGTTGTTAAGAAATTCTTTTGAAAATTGAGTTTTAATTGAAGAAAAATTTTAAAAAAATGTAATTTAAAAATTAACAATAAAAGTATGATTTATCATTATTTTATTAAAAATAAGTGTGTAAATAATAACATAATAATCACCAATGAGTAATATATATTTATTTAAACAAACATGACCTTTTAAGGGGTTTGTTGTTACATATTTCCTATTTGGATGGGGTTTTGATGTAACATTACTTCATCACTTTTTTGTTTTCCAAAATAGGTTTGATTAAGCTTCCACGTCAAATTGAAGGACTCTTTTTATGTAGTGTGAAGTACTCTTTTCCTTTCCAATTTGGGTATCTCCTTCCACATGTGACTGTGAGATGATCCGGTTTCCATGTTCCTCCTTTCAACTCTCAAGTATCTTTCAACTTCTACCCACCAAAAAAGCAGACATATTAACAGAACTAACAAAACTTCACCACCTACCCATGTCTTTCTACATACTCTAAACTACAATTAAGATTTATTTTAAATATGTTTTAAAAAATAAGATTCAAATTGATTTTTCAATATAACAAATTTGTACCCAATTTAATAATTAAAATAACTCTAAAAATCATTTTTTTACAAGCGGATGACACTATCAAAGATTCTTTACACAAATATAATATTTAAACGAGATCAAACTATATATATATATATATATATATATATATATATATATATATATATTATTTTATTTTATTTTTTCCACAAAACGTAACATTATCTGACTTACCGGATCCAGAATGTTCGATCCCCTGAGACACAAGACGCAATAACAACCGTTTGATCTATTTTGATCCTTGATCATCCCTCCGTTTATATTTCGCACTCTTCATTCCCTCAAATTTCTTCTCTTCCTTTCACTGACGACACGGCCGCAGCCGCTCGCGACAACAACAGCGTCAGGCACCATTCTGGTGAGTGAGTTCTCACTCTCTTCTCTGACGTCTCCTTCCGTAATTTCTCTTCGTTTTGGTTTCGTTTGTTTTGTCTCTTTGCGGTTTTGATCTGATTGGAAAATCAGGAGGAGAGAGTGGTTGGGTTTGATGGAGAAGGAGCTGGTGGAATTGTACGACGCCGCCAAGAAGGCGGCGGACGCGGCCCTCTCTGGCGACGCCCAACCCGAGGAGACCCGATGCATCGATGCACTCGAACAGCTTAAGAAATTTCCCGTTAATTACAAGATTCTTGTTAGCACTCAGGTAATTTTCTTCTCAAAAAATTTTTTCCTATTAAATTTTGTGCCCTTTTTATGTTCTGTTGGGGGTTTATTATTTAATTGTTTTTTGCGCGAGAAAGTGCACGAATGATTTGGCAATTTGAGGTTTTGTGTGTGAAACATGTGCATGCAATGTTGAGTTGTGCGATGTGTCTGAGATGCATGGAAACCGAATACATCTCTGTTAAATGTTGTATAATGTGCTCTGTGGTGTGTTATGTGCACTGAAATAGATTTGTATTGTTTTATAATTTTGGTTGTTGTTTTTTCTTTTACGATTGGGTTCTGTAAATAGCTTGTTGTTGAAAGAAGGAAGAAGAACGATCATTTTCTGTTTTTTTTTTTTTTTTTTTTGAGGGGGGCCGGGGGGGACTGGGTGGAATTTCTGATCAATCATTATTGAAAAGGTTACTTGAGAAGATTAGGGTTATATTTTGAGCATTAGAGAAATTGTGTCTCGCAGTTGTAAGGTGTGGACCCTGTTGTAGGCATGTCTAAATGTTAAGATTAAGTTTTGATAATGTTTGGTTACTAAAGTTGCTGGTAGTGTTCCCTCAACTAACTTCTTCACCGTAGAATTTTAGTATTGCCCTGAATTTGGGAATGAAGCTGGAGTTACCAAATGTTGTCAGGTTCATATAAATCTATGAACTGTAATAGCTTCCGGAGGTTGACCTTGTAATTGGGATCTATTATTTGGTGGTACTGGCTGTAGATTTTCTGTTAGGATTGACATTATTTCTGTTTCCCACAAAACATGACCGTTTCATGTTATGAGAGAAAACGACAAACGACAAAACATCGAGTTTGGGTGGAATCTGTTGACCCTGACCTCAGAAAGGTGCGCCTGTCACAATAAACTCAGGCTTTCACTTAACATATTTCTCTATAACAGAAATTAATCAAAGAGGATTCGAATTCATTCTTGACTTCTTGCTGTACATAGTGCACTAGAGTATGAGGAAGTTTGTAATCTTCACTTGTTTCTTATCTACCGATATATTTAGGGGTTCCATTATTTTCTTTTGTCAGGCAGAATGAATTGTTGCAACTGTTTCATAGTTTTGTACTATTGGAGATCCTAAATCAATTAGAGATATCACAAAATTATAGTATATAAATAGGTGTAAATCTCACTTTACACAATAGTTTTGTGAGGTTTAGGGAGGCCTAAAACCCACTCTTTTTATGATGGTATCACAATCTATTCTAGTTAGTTTTGTGAGGTTGAGTTAAGCCTAAAACCCACTCTTTTTAAGGTGGTATCGCAACCTATTGTAGTGAGATTTGTTGGATTTGTCGTGCTACCCAGTATCGGACAACTATTAGACCACTCATAGATATCAATTCCCAACTCTGTTAGTCCACGGTATGAGGAAGTGTGTTGGGGACTTCACATTGACCAGAGATATGGTCAAATTACAGTATATAAATAGATACACACCTCACCTTATAAACCAATTTTGTGAAATTGAGTTAGGGTTAAAATCTATACTCTCGACATACTTTGGACTTTTTGCCTATGACAAAATTGTTAGGGGATTTGTGGTGGATTATGGAAAGAAGTATTTATTTATATGTGAAATCATTAATATTGGAAATGATATGATTTTTCATTGAAATCAAATCTCAAGATTGAAACTCATTAAAAGTAGAATTTATTTTCTTTTATTATTTTACATCTTATCCTTCAACATAATACCTCTCATTAAGGACAGGACACAACACTATAGTTCATGCCCTGTGACCTATTATTGCAGGTTAAAACCTCTCCACGTATAGTTTAGGTTGCACACTTGCATACATGTACCTTTCCAAACTTCATGAGGTGCGAGCCTTGTGCACTGCCCTACCTTTTATATCATATTATTATTTTTCTTAATTTAAACTTCGAACAAACATAAGTTTTGATTTTCAAATTAAACCATGTCCCACTTATTTTATACCCCAATCAGTTGTAAATCAAATATATTTTGAAGGAATTTTTCAACTGTTACTTTTCTCTGACAAATTTCGTTTTTTCATACAGAAAACTTTTACTAGTAATATGGGTTTGCAGGTGTGGAGTATTTTGTATGAATGTAATAATTGGGTCTTGCATGATAAGCACTAGTTAAGTTAATATTTGTATAGTATAAAAAAAGTTGGAATGTAGATATTACTATGTTTCGGGCTTCTGTGTCTGTGAACGTTGCATTCCCATCATGTGATGGGATGGGGATGACAGCACCTCATGGTGCAGTTTGGTATCCCTGCTGTAGATTGGGGAGAAAAACATTAGGAATGGGTATTGCAATTTTTTTCATTTAAAGTTCATTCCTCCCCCAAAAAATATGGGAACACTAAACTGATCTCAAATCTGTTTAATTTCAAACAAAGATTTGCTTATTTTTTTAATGTTTTTACAGGTAGGCAAACATCTTAAAGTTCTCACCAAGCACCCAAGGCAGAAAATTCGGGCCTTTGCTATTGAGCTAATTGAGATATGGAAAGACATAATTATCAAGGAAACAAGCAAAAATAAAAACGGAGGTACTGAGAGTAAGGTTGAGTCGGCTAATGGGGAGAGATCTAAATCTGGGAAAATGCAGAAGTGTCCTTCAGTGAAGGTTGAAAAAGGTGAAACTGTCAAGGTTGAGAAAAATGATAGGAATGGTACATCAAAGTCAAGCGCAGAAAGTATGAAAAAGGTACAAAATGATGTCAAGAATGAGAAAGCTGATCGTGCTACAAGTGTCAAGGTGGAAAAGTCAGTGAAGGAGGTAAAGCCAGTTCCTGGAGCGAGGAAAATGTCATCCAGTTCTGCAACTCCCCCAAAGCTAACATCTATGATTAAATCGAATGATGCAACGAGAGACAAGATAAGGGAACTTCTCCATGAGGCTTTGTCCAAGGTCCCCGGAGAGGCTGATGAAGATCTTGTAGAGGTAGTCAATGCTTCTGATCCTATTCGAGTTGCTGTGACTGTGGAGTCTGTATTATTTGAAAAATGGGGTCCTTCAAATGGGGCGCAAAAGGTCAAGTACAGGTCCTTAATGTTTAACCTTAAGGACTCAAATAACCCTGATTTCCGCAGAAAAGTTCTGCTTGGTGTTGTAGAGCCTGAGCAACTGATCAACATGAGCACTGCAGAAATGGCTAGTGAACAAAGGAAGCAGGAAAATCAGAAAATCACAGAGAAAGCTTTGTTTGACTGTGAGCGTGGAGTTCAACCAAAGGCTACAACCGATCAATTTAAGTGTGGCCGATGTGGTCAGAGAAAGTGCACCTATTACCAAATGCAGACTCGCAGTGCTGATGAACCTATGACAACCTATGTCACTTGTGTTGTCTGCAATAACCGTTGGAAGTTCTGTTAGTGCAGTTGTGACCGAGTCACGCTAGAGAGCTGTTGCCATTTGTTACTAATTTAGGGTATGAAGGTGCGAGTGTCATTATGGTTCCGAATAGCAGTCGTGCCAGAATTTTCTATCAGACTGTTACATGTAGAAAATTTTTAGGCAGGAAAATGTACTTTTTTATTCTTTTCCGGTTTTAACTCCTAGTTTTTCGCATTGCTGTAGTTTGTTGTAACGTTAGAAGTTCATCTCTTATAAAATCGCTCCAATGGTTTTTTCATCTCTTAAAAAATCGCTCCAATGTCCTTCTCAGGTTCTACTCATCCGTGACTACAACACTTAACCTAGGTTTTATGCAGAAACAGAAGTACGTACTTAGTTTTCTTGGAACAAAATCCAGTCATGCCAAATGCGACTACTGTTGTGCTCCTGCAGCACACTTTACGCTACATTATAGGTAGGTCTATTTGATGTCCTCCTCTCGTTGTTCCATCTGGGATTATGTTTTCATTTTGATGTCATCTTAGCTTGGTTGCAATATGGTTTTAGTAAGTTTGAAGAGCTATGAACCATGTAAGAAAGCAGTATAAACAACCGAACCAGTTCTAATGATGTGGACTAACAACGGAACTTTCCACTTTAATTAAGCTTATTGCATAACGAAGGACTTGTCAAATTCCAAGTTTAAGGCTGCCTGAACGATCCAAATGAGTCCGGCCACACCTAAAATCAACTGGAACCAAACCGTAGAAATATTTCTGAATTAAAGATGAGAAAACGGCTAGTACATTAAAAAAAAAACAAAGGCAGACTTTAACCGTTCTGTCAAAGAATAGGTCGATGAACTTATAAATCTTTTTGTCAATATTTTTTTATAGAAAATTTGTTTATATATATATTAAAATATATTTTTAATTATATGAATATTTTTTAAGTTTTTATTTATAATTAATAATTTTAATAAATAAATTAAAATGATTATATTTATATATTAAAATAATTAATTATAATCAATAATTTAAATTTAATTAATTAATATTTATAATTTAAATTATAATATTATGATATATTTATTTATTTTAATAATATAATAAAAATATATAATTTTTTATTTTAATAAATAAAGAAATAATTTTTTAAAATAAATTAATCTACCGAATTGATGAATTAGACAGCATCAAACAAAACAGATAGAAGGAATAACCATCAACTTTTTTTTCACTATCACTATTTTTAAGGCAGGCCGGTAGGTTTGTCATTCTTGATAGCAGCAATTTTGTTAACAACCTCAAATAACAATCAAAGTGCAGTGATATTGTTTAAGTGTGTACACCGTAGTGTAAACACAAAACTTCCATTAATGAAGACACAATTAATAATTATTCTCTTGATAGATTTGTTTGTTTCAACTACATACAGTGAAATCAAAATCACTGGGTTGTATCGTTGAGTTCTTTAAGAGCTTGGAAGATTCTAGAGCTTCTATCAAATATGTGAGCCCTACGGTTATAATCCATAGGGTCTTTTCCCACATCTTCACCCATGATAGCTTCCTTCTCCAAACACTCCAGCATATCCACCACCCCTTTCCCTTCTCTACATTTGTGCTTATACCTTCCCATTCCATTCTCTTTACATTCTTCTGTCTTCATCTCAGCTTCCAACTCTTTCTCCAACTCTCTCACCAAACTCCAACTTCCACATTCCACCACAAAGCTCCCTCTACTATCCTTTATTTGGTGCGCTAAATATTGAGTATTGTTTGGCCAAAACGTGGTGCTCAGAGTGAAACCTGAACTCCTCTCCTTAAAAGTGAAACGATTTTGACATGAAACGATGTGGCTGTTGTTGGTGTTGCTCAAAGTAAGAGAGGGTTGGCAGAGGTTCTGTGTAATGGCTAGGCAACTAGAGAACTTCATTTTTTTGGCTATGGTTTTTGGAGGAGCGAGAGGGGCTTGGTTTTATATTTCTATGGAAGGTTTTGTCTGGAAAAAACGTGAAGGATTAGGTAAATAAAAGTCAATAGTCTTTGTTTCAAACAAAAACTTAATGGAATTGGCCATACCACTATGTTTTCTAGCCACAACTTCAATGGAAGATGATGGTGTTTGCTCCTTGCAAGTCACAATCTTTGAAATTATGCCAACAATTTTGAAAATCCATCCTTATATTCCTTACCATATGTGCATCCATTAATCACTAATAGGGAGGAGGTATATATTATTATTATTATTATTATTATTATTATTATTATTATTATTATTATTTAGTTTTGTTTTAACAAATTTCGTCATACATATTTAAAAAATAAGAAAAATAAAATATATTTTTTGGAAATCAATTAATTTGTAGAAAATTTATGAAATCGTTTTTCTAAATTTCTTATTTTTATTCATATAAAATTAAATTTTATTTTATTTTTTAAAATATTTATAAAAAATCACTTGTAGTCTATGAAAATAGTATAAGTTGAAAAGTATTTAGTATACTTTTTAGTTTTTTATTTTATTTGATGAGGGAAGTCGTCACGTGTAAAGGTGGACTTTCATTTTCTTTTCTTTTTTTATTTTTTAATGGTAAATGAGTCATATGCAAATTACCAATTTTATTTTATTTGTTTCAATGAACTTACCCATTTATACAAGGTATGTTTTGTCTTCTTTTATGAGATAAGTTTTATGTTGTATACATTTTTTACACAGTATATATGGTGCACATTTATTCAATGCATTGAAGTTCTAGTTAATTTCTCTCTAACATGTTTTTGAATTATTCTAAGGTTGATTTTAGAAAAGTAAAATAAAACTCAATTCAATTATAGGGTAAATTATACTAGTGTGGAGTATGTTTTTTTATATTATAATAAGATTACTGTGCAGGAAAACTTCGTAATACACAGTAAATTTTTTCTTTTATATATGCGCGTACTGAAGCGGGGAGGAGGCAGAATAAAAATTTCCTCTCATCTTTCTTCTTCTTTTGTCTAAATTTCAAGCAACGATACTCTACTCCTACATAATCTGGTGAAAAAGGAGAGAATTTGAATTAAGTGGAAAAGCTTCGATAGAAATACCATACAAGGTAAGAGGAAGTTTAATTCATTCAATATATGAAATTGAATTGTTGAGTACTCTGTGAATAAGGAATATGAGTAGAGATATGAATTATTTGAATGTGTGATTTTTGAAAAATTTCTGATTTTGATGAACTGTTTACCGTTTGAAGTTTTTTTTGAAATTCTTGAAATTAAGGATGAATTATATAATAAAATTGTTGTTTTTAACTTAAATTGAACATGTTTATGGTTTAATTTTGATTTGGAACTAATTTGGATGATTGAAACTGAGAAATTTGAAACCTGGATTTTGAAAATGGCGTACTGGAGGTGATTACTATTCATATTTTGCAAAGTTTTAAATATTGATGAAATTCTTGAAATTAAGGATGAATTATATAGTAAAATTGTTGTTTTTGACTTAATTTAGACATATTGTGTAATATCCTAAATTTTTCAATCAATTATATAAATAAATTTTGTAAGTTATAAATATGTACTGAATATTATGTAGAGTTATTATAAAAATAAAACATGATTTTTTTTTGTTTATAGTTATTTTATCTTAAGAAAATTATAAAATAAAATCCAAGGTTAATATTGTGTCAAATAATAATTTAATAATAATTCTTAATAATAAAATTAAATAAATGAATAAATAAATATTTAGAAATTTAATACTATAAAAAAAATATTAATAATGAACTTATTCATTTAAATATTATGTAAACTTTCTATGAAAAAAAAATCACGAAAAGAGAGAAATGGTACTCAAGAACCATAGTTTTGGATCAAGTCAGTAGAACCTTTGAATTGAGTCGGTGAAATAAGGCGGTGGAGAATAAAATTAAAGAAAATTCGAGAAGGAGTATAAGTCGGTAAGATAAGTGTATAAATAGGAAGAAATTTGAAAACTTACTTACACAAAAACATACAATTCCCGTAACTTACAAAACCAACAGAGAGGCACCGAATTCCGAGAAGAAGAATTCGAGAGAAAGGAGGAAAGGGGAGCATAAGAAATTAAGAGAGTAATAAGATTTTGAAGGAGCCAGGTATGGGTTAGACGTTTAGTTTTATTCATACGAATGTCTTAAATTTTGAAATTGGAGATTACTATTCATCATTTGCAAAGTTTGAAATATTGCTGAAATTCTTCAAATTAAGGATGAATTATATAATAAAATTGTTGTTTTTAACTTAAATTGAACATGTTTATGGTTTAATTTTGATTTGGAACTAATTTGGGTGATTGAAACTGAGAAATTTGAAATTTGGATTTTGAAAATGGCGTACTGGAGATAATTACTATTCATAATTTGCAAAGTTTTAAATATTGATGAAATTCTTGAAATTAAGGATGAATTATATAGTAAAATTGTTGTTTTTGACTTAATTTGGACATATTGTATGTTTAATTTTGATTTAGAACTAATTTGGGTGCTTTAAATTGAGAAATTGGAAAATCTGAATCTTGAAAATGGCTTACGAGGGAAGCGAATGAAGAAGAAAGGACTAGGTGAGAATTTTTGCAAAAGATCAAGGGTAAAATAGTCATTTCACATATTAGGGACATAAATGAAATTTTTGAAAAAGATTAAGGGTAAAATAGTCATTTCACATATTAGGGACATAAATAGAATTTTTGAAAAAGATTAAGGGTAAAATAGTTATTTCATATATTAGGGACATAAATGGAATTTTGAAAAAGATCAAGGGTAAAATAGTCATTTCACATCTTAGGGACATGGATGGAATTATAGGAAATGTTCAAGGGAAAAATGGTCATTTTACAACCTAAGGACATAAATGAAATTTTGAAAAATGTTAAGGGTATAATCGAGATAAAGTTAAACAAGATATTACCACCTCTTTGTTTACTAGGAAACGACTCAATAAACGTTAGAATTTGAGGATAGTGCCTTCATCAAAGTTATAGGTTATTGTCTTATCTTTCCAACACAATTGGAATCACCTTAAAAGGAGGTCTAGAACTCAAGATATGGACAAAACACTGAACTCTACGAAATAAATTATTAATAGAAATTATCTTGTTTAAAACAACTATGAATTGTAATTGAAATTTTGAATATATGAAGAAGATGTTTCTAAGTACTTAATTGATGATAGATTGTTTTGTTTCATACAAGACATAAACATAGTGCATGAAATGTTTTCTCGAAGTCACGTAAAAGATTTTACGAAAACGTATTTGGAAATTTCTCTTAAGTTGCTACCAAGGACGGTTGGTAGTAATAATGATGTGCAAAACAGAATTTTAAAAATATTTCTGTGAGTCAATTTACTATCAAAAGCATCCGGTAGTGAAATATGACTATGAAAATGGTCGGCCAAATGAGACAGAGAATGAATTATTAAGAATTGAGCTACCGTAATCTCCGATAGTAAATGAGGGAGTAGAATAGGTAAGACAGGACCTCTCGGTCTATGGGGATGGACCTCTCGGTCTAGGGAGTGTTTGGGCATGGGCAATTCCATAAGTGGCCAGTCTTTATTTGATTCTCGTGTCGTGGTAGCTCGTCGGTGCACCGACACTCCGACTACTCGTCTACTTGTTCGCGTTAGTGGGACATTGCCGAATCACCGGACAGGGTGATGTTAAGCTCTGGTTCCACTAGACACTCAAATGAGTCTCCATGGAGCACTGAGTCAAAAATAATTTTTTTAGATTTTGAGTCAAAAACATGATTTTAAAATTTTACGTTTTGAGTCACATGTGCATATCATAAACATATTGGATGATGAAATTGTAGATTATTCATGATTTGTATGATATTATCTATTATGATTCCATGAATGATTTATTTGTTTCTCATAATTAATTTTCAAATTAAATTATATATGGTTGTATATTTATATGCAATTATGAACTTATTAGAAGGAATGTTTCATTGTTTGATTTTATCGTATGAATGTTTGCTTTATTTGCTGTGAATAAAATTAAATGTCTAACCCCATAAATATTTCAATCCCAGATGTTGGTGACGTATGATGCAGGAATACATAGTCCAAGAGATAGATGTCAGATGCAAAAATCCAGAGCTTAGGTTGGGAATTGTATAACATATAAGTATAACTTTATGACTTGTAATATTTTGAAAACTTTGTACTAGAACTTGTTACTTGATTTAATATAAAACTTTACCTAAATTAATTGTTCACTTGGTATATTTTCTATTAACCTTCTATGAATATTGAAAATATTACTAACTTTGATAATAAATTAGGATTAATAAATGTAATCTGTAAGGGGGGTTACATTAGTGGTATCAGAGCTCTGGTTATGCATCTTTAGGGCTTGTGAGTACAAGTTGATTAGGAAAATGTTGTTTGTATAGAAAAGTTTTAAATATAAGATAGGAATAATTTCTATCACCAGACGTTAACTTAGTGAAATAAACTGTAGGTCGAAATGCCACCTCGGCGAGATCTTATGATCGATGTGGCACAAGCCATAAGGAAAATGGCTGCTGCATTGACTCAGCCAGCTTTGCCCCAGCATCATGCCACTGTAGATAAAACAACTTTAGCTGACTTCAAGAAAAATGATCCGCCATATTTTAAAGGAGAATATGACCCTGAGAAGGCTGAAGAGTGGATTCAGACCCTAGATGATATTTTTGTAGCTATGGAATGTCCGGATGAACGGAAAGTATCACATGCTAGTTTCCAACTGCAAGGTGATGCGAAGATATGGTGGAAGGCAAGTTTGAAAATGTTGGAAACTAAAGGAGAGAAAGTTACTTGGGAATTATTTAAAACCATGTTTTAGAGAAATATTTTCCCACCAGTGCAAGGAACGCAAAGGAGGTGGAATTCAATAAACTTTATCAAGGAAGTATG